AACAATGCCCAAAATTGCATTTTTTCCACATGGGCCCATCTTTTCAAGATTGAATCTCATACCTAGCATGGTCCATAACCCATGGGACCCCCTTTCCACATTTATTTATTTATATAATTTATTTTGATTTTATTTATTTAAAATTCAAATAAAATCAAATTAAATAAAAAATAAATCAAATAAATGGGATAAGATTTGTTTTGGCATTGATTGAATATCTCATGAGATGTCAAATAGCCAAACAAATCGTGCAAGTTTGAGAATGGGAAAAAATCTCCATGTTTGGAAAGATTGGAAGCAAACTTAAAGACCATAACATCTTTTGATTCTTTTTTATTCTATTATCCTAGATTGATCCATTACTTATACCAAGACACTCAAGACCTAGAGGACAAGAGAACAGATGTGCAACTAGCCTCAAAAATATAGGAAAATTCCAAATTTTCCAACAAAAAGTGCAGATCGGTTTCACTTCTGGAGGCTGTGATACGGTGGGAGAACTGACTTGGGTGTTTTGCGTTTGATTGCAAATGTTGCGGTTAGCAAGAGTTGCCACCGACTTTTCTTTTATTCAAAAGGAAAGGTGAAAAAGCACAGGAAAAACCTTTGAGATGTTTTCTTGAGTTCGGGGGGTAGATTATAAAAAGCGAAGGTATTAGCACCCTTTTTATCCATGGTTTTCCATGGGCTCTTAGTTACTTGCTAGATCACTTGCTTTTGTTTGAAAATGTGCTTTGTGTGATTTTTGAAAGTATTTTGAAAAGAGGCCTTTGTTTAGGAAAACTTTATAATGATTCTCGTTCGTAAGAATGTATACAAAGTGTTGATCTTTTGAAAATGTTTTTAAGTTTGAAAGATGTTTTTTTGAAAGTGTTGGTGTTTGTTTTGAAAATAGCAAGGATGTTTTGGTTTTGAAATTGAGCAAGTAATTAGGAACATTATACCTACTCAAAAGTCCTTCATGTTTATTTCCTCTTTCCTTTGTCATTGTTATCTTACCATTGATTTAGTAAGTAACCCTATCTTTGGATGTAAAAGGGACTAGCGTGGGTCATCGTATAACCATGATTAGCAATGTTGCAAGGTATCTTAGCATTTTCTTTAGGGACTAAGATTATTTTGAAAGGCAACATGGATAGCGACATCGAAGGACTATGATCTTGTATTTGTTTGTTTTTGCTAAGATACCTCACATGCATAATATGGCCATTTTGTAAGGCAGCCAAGTGGATTTACCCTAGGGGTGTTTGTGTGCAAGTGTATTGATTTACATGCTTGATTTGTCTTTGATTAGGGTTTGCTATTGTTGGTTTTAGTCTTTCCATACAAAACCCTAATTACTAGCATTTGTATATAAAGCGATAAATTGCGGAAATTAAAATTACTACGCTATTACATCATTTAGGGGATGGGGTATATAAATTGCAAATGGGGAATTACAAGAAATTAAATCTAAACAATTATTACAACTATATTGAATTTTGAATAAATGTACAAAATGAGGATAAAATGCAAAAATATGAAATGTAAGAAGAAATGTGATTTTTTTTGTTTGGTTTTTTTATGAAAAGGGTTTTTTGAACTAATTAATTAAAATAAAATAATTAACTAAAAAAAAGAAAATTAGTATTAAGTTAGTAAAATAAATTAATTTAAAGAAAACCAGTTTTTTAGGGTTTTGGTGAATTTAATAAAAATAATTAAATAAATAAAACCTAAGTTCTAAATTGATTTTAATTTATAAGAAAAATAAATAATATAATATAATAATAATTAAAATTAAATTATCTAAGTGTTAAAAAAGGTAAATTTAATTATTAAAGAAAATGTAAAAGAAATGTTTTCATTATTTTGTTTTTGTGAAGAAAAATAAAATATAAAAATGTGAAAATAATAAATAAAAATATTTTTTGGGGTTTTATTACTAATAATAAAAATTAATATTAATAATACTAATAATAATAATATAATAAAAAAAAATAAAAAAAAAATAAAATGGGCCAGGATATATGAACAGCAAGACACAGGGGTCAAAATGTAGCAAAAAAAATAAGGCTCAGGCGCTGCAAGGGTAACAGGCGCGCGCTTTAGCCACTGGAATGGTGATACATCTGTTAACTTATGCAAAAACCCTACACAGGTTTCTTCTTTCCAAGATGCAGTTTTACATGGACAAATCATGAAGCAGCCCTACACAAGTTCCTTCTTTCCAAAATGAAGTTTTACACAGACTCATCATGAAGCAGCCGTACACAGGTTCCTTCTTTCTAAGATGCAGTTTTACACGGACTCATCATGAAGCAACCCTACCCAAGTTCCTTCTTTATAAGATACAACTTTACACAGACTCATCATGAAGCAACCCTACACCGGTTCCTTCTTTCCAAGATGAAGTTTTACACTGACTCATCATGAAGTAACCATACACATGTTCTTTCTTTCCAAAATGAAGTTTTACACTGACTCATCATGAAGTAACCATACACATGTTCTTTCTTTCCAAAATGAAGTTTTACACGGACTCATAATGAAGCAACCCTATACAGGTTCCTTCTTTCCAAGATGAAGTTTTACACGAACTCATCATCAGGAAACCCTACACATGTTCGTTCTCTTTCCAAGATGCAGTTTTACACGGACTCATCATCAGGCAACCCTACACAAGTTACTTCTCTTTCCAAGATGCAGTTTTACACTGACTCATCATCAGGCAACCCTACATCGGTTCCCTCTCTTCCCAAGATGCAGTTTTACACGGACTCATCATCAAACAACCCAACCTTCCGATACAGTTCAGATGCGCTTCAGACATAGACGTCATGCTGGCAATAATCCAGTTCCAGCTTATAGATATAGTCCAACCACTACAAGAAAATTAGTGTTTAACGACACAAAAATTGCGACAGTTATGTGATAACTGTCGTAATTGACATATAGAGACAGTGTTTACGACAGTTGACACCAACCGTCCCTAATATTTATTTTGCGACGGTATATTTAACCATCATAATATTATTATTACGATGGTAAAACAACCGTCGGCCCCCATTTAACACTTTTAACATTGATTTTTCATCAACAACTAGTCACGACGGTAAAATTAACCGTCCTAAAAGGCATATCACGACGGTAAAGCACCCGTCGCACCCTTAAACCTTTCACGACGATAAAATTATCCGTCCTAAAATTCATTTCACGACGGTAAAACAACCGTCGCACCCAAAACCTTTAAAAATTCTCATGGGCACGACGGTAAAACACCCGTCGCCGTAAAAAAGTTAAAAAGCTCTTAAAATACATAAAACATCAATTCACTTTCTACTCCGTAAACATTATAAATATCACTAAATAAAGTTTATTACCACCGTGAGCCACCCTAACCACTCATATTTACTAAGATCTAGGAATATCCCATCCAAGTGAGGTAACTCACATGGACTTTTATGGAGTTTTTTTATAAGTAGATTTTGGTTTTTCTTTTTATATTTTTAAAAGACCAGTGTTTCATTTTTCCCATTTTAAAAAACTTTTTTACCTTGCATTTTATTTGCTAGTATATTCTCTAGGAATCCAAGTTCCAAATCATAAATTTCTATTTTTCACTTATCCCTACCGCAAACAAGGAACCCGAAACCCAAACTCTCATTCCGCCACAGACCACTCTCAACTATCTTCAGTTCCCCCAAAATTTTCAAACCTCTTTCGCTTCCTCATCTCACAACCACCACCAATTTCTCAGTTTCGTCAATTTTCGGTTTTCATACCTTCGAAATGGAGAATCTTAACTTAGCCCTTGTTTCTTCCCCTAAACCTCTGCTTCTGGGACATTCCTCCTCAAAAAACGTCTTCACAAGAAGAAAGCCTTTCGCTTTTGGGACTTTTCGCGTTTCTGCTAACTCTTCATCCTCTCATGTCACCAGGGCTGCTTCTAAATCTCACCAAAATCTAAAATCTGGTAATCTTATGAATATGATTTTTGCTTACCATAAATAGGGTTATTAGGTTATGATGTACTTGAATGAAATGTATGTAATTATATTGAAATTGAAGTTGAATCGACATAGTTATAATGAAAATTTCCATGCAAATTGAATGTATTTCAATGTTTTGCACTCATGTCTGAAGAGGCATTCATAAGTAATACATGCTCGGAATTTAGTGCAGGGGAAGGTCACTGTGCATACTTTTGCTAGCATTTCTTCTTCAAATAGTCAGGAAACAACATCAGTGAGAAGGCTTATGAGGTAACTCTATCTATCTATCTGTTGATGTGTTTATCTGAATTTCATGTGTTTGATAGTGCGCATCGATGATTGTTATATATCTTCAATGTAACTTCTTTGATTTCCTCAGAATGGAAGAACAATGGTGGAGAGTAAGACAACAGACCTGAGATCTCAAGGACTTCGTTGAATCCTTAAAGTCGGTATTGTGTTTACAAGATATTGTCTCTTTTAAATATTGTGTGATACTTCAAGGACTTGTTGAATCCTAAATTGATCGTGTTGAATTGTTGTTTTGGTGGTAGTTGAAGACAAAGGAAAAATAAAAGCTTGAAGTTTGGTATTTTATTTGAAGGAAGGTTTCATCACAACATTTGGACCACCATTCATTTAATGGAAAGAAATATTTTTGATATTCCAATGTCAATATTCATAGGCAATCCCAAGATTCATATATACTTTTTTTTTGTAGTTAATGTTTGTGTTTGAATTTCAAATTGCTAAACAGTAATACCTTTCTTGAGTATGTGGAATTAAAGTTCCTTTCTTCTGTTACCTTTTCCAAACCTACTACCTTAGGCAAACACAACTAAAAGCAACTACTCATATAATGAAATTGGTCTATATTGTAGTTATAATTTTTCAAAAGAAAATATTTTCTAGTGCTTTTGATTTTGATATTGGTTTGATTTTGTTGATTGATTACTTCATCCTAAATCTTAAGGATTACAACTCTATGGTCAAACAATGTTGATGTGATTTTTTTTTCCATTCTAAATGGTTGATCAAATTGAGTCATGTTCGCCTAATACGTTGGTACAATGTCGAATATGTCACGATGAAGATGAAGACTTAAACATGGATACACCTTGTTCTTGTTCTGGTACATTGCAGTATGCTCATAGAATATGTGTGCAAAGATGGTGCAATGAGAAAGGTGATACTACTTGTGAGATCTGCCAACAGGTCTGCACTTTGTTTCTATTGTCTTACTCAACATATAAGTTATTCAAATTTGTATGAAAAAATGCTTAATTATGTTCCCCTCTATTTTGTTGATTGTGTTGTTGAATGCAGCAATTTAAAGGCTACACTGCTCCTCAAGCTCCTTTGTTTCACTATAGGTATTTAATTATTTATTCTTTAGTTAATTTCCTTTTCTACGGGTCAAATGATGATAGAAGATTGTTAATTATCTTTCAGGGGCAACTGGGAAATTCCAAGAGTTGGTTTCAATAATCATCAATTCATAGCATTGTTTCCTGCTAATCATGAATTTCTAGACTTTAATTTTGAATATTCAGCTCCCTCTACAAGGAGCCGCGTGTTCATTCGCATTGTTACCATCATTGTAATTTCCATTTGCTCCCGTTACCTCTATGTTTTACTAAATTTGGAATCTTTGTATATTCAAGCTATTCAAGTTTACTACTGTGCATACTTTTGCTAGCATTTCTTCTTCAAATAGTCAGGAAACAACATCAGTGAGAAGGCTTATAAGGTAACTCTATCTATCTATCTGTTGATGTGTTTATCTGAATTTCATGTGTTTGATAGTGCGCATCGATGATTGTTATATATCTTCAATGTAACTTCTTTGATTTCCTCAGGATGGAAGAACAATGGTGGAGAGTAAGACAGCAGACCTGAGATCTCAAATCAGGCGAAAAGGTGACACAAACCAAGCTTCAAGTATAAGGAATCCATGGCAGCAATCAGATCAGACACAGTCTCATTCTAATCATGAAACACAACTTAAGCAATCCCGAGACGTAAGGTGCCAACTGTGTAATCATGTATAATGGTTGCAGTCTCGTTAGTTGTTATAGTGTAGGCATAGATGATAGAACATCTTATAATGATTTTGGAATTGTTAATACATTTTAACTTAGTAGAATCTGTTCTTAGTCCCTCTCATGTGATGAATTTAAATTTAGTTCACATATGGAACATACATATTCTACTATCCAAGTTCTGTTAAATTCTTATGTAACCAAACAAGCTACATTTTCTTTTGTTTTGATTTCAGGTGGCATTGGCAACAGCAGCAAAAGCAAAATTACTTCTTCGTGAGCTAAAAACCGTTAAAGCGGATTTAGCATTTGCTAAAGCGCGCTGTGCTCAACTTGAAGAAGAAAATAAATTACTCAGGGAACGAGAAGGAAGCGATAAGGGACTTATCCGTGATGATGATGATCTGGTATTAATCAGTTTGTTGTTTACCTATTTGAATTTGCATTTAGAAGCCAAAGAAATTTGAAAGTGCCATGTTATTATGTAATGTAGCATTAGCCTATCTCTTTTGAAGCAACTATGCTACATTATAAGGTAGAAGCATGCATAAAATTAACATCATGTATATGCATAATGAATTATTATTACTACTACATTTTGAACTTGAGGTCTGGTACTAAATTTGTGATCTACTCAGATCTGCAGCAAAATGATCACACTTTTTGTTTATAGGGTTATAGTCTTAGATGAGATTCTCTTGTTTTGAGAAATATATGCATGTTTTCTAACATACATTCATTTATTTATTCTACCTGATTGCAATGTGAGGACTGAGGAATTAAGACCATGGGAGTATTTGATACTCATGTTTTGTGTGTAACTTTCCTGTCACTGTGTCTGTGAGGAGGTTGGTTTGGAAAACTCCTTCATTACAAATATTCGACATTGTATTAACATTTTGAATTCAGTGCAGGGGAAGGTCATTGTGCATACTTTTGCTAGCATTTCTTCTTTGAATGTGTAATCATACTATTCTTTCTTTCACATTTTGAATTTCCTGTAGATGTTTTATACCATGTCATATGATTGCCATTTGTCAAACTACTTGTTTGGAAGGGAGATGATTTTATATATATATATATATATATATATATATATATATATATATATATATATATATATATATATATATATATATATATATATATATATATATATATTTATTTGATGTTGTTTATCAATTTCGCTTATATATTCTAATTTGGATTTATTTGTTCACAATGTTTGTAGAGGGTCGCCACTCTTTTGGATTGGTGTTGGTGTTGGGTTTTCTGCACTATTTTCAGTGGTGAGAACCATAGTCAAAACTCAGTTTTATATATACTGATGTTTATTTTTCTTCATTTTTATTTATGTTCAATATATTAAGGTCCATTTCTTTTTGGCAGGTAGCTTCAAGATTAAAGGTGAGTTCCACTTTACTGCGTGGCTTGGGTTTAAACTGGTCTGTCATTTGAGTTCTATGGTAAGATATTGGGAGCATATCAAGTCAGATGAATGATTTATTGGCCGAGGGAAAGGAACAAGTCTTTTCACCTTCAAATTTTACACGAAGTTGCAACAAACGTTTTTTGTCAAACCTTATCTTTTGTAGTTTCTTTGTAGAACTGGCAACAACTAACCTTGTAACTCTTTGGTACCCTTTTCATACAATTTCAACATTTGTGTTTTAATCTTTTTTCAGAAATATGCAATGCAACAAGCTTTAAACACCATAATGGGCCAGATAAATACACAAAATAATAATCCATTTGACAGTGGTGCCTTTTCCCCTGGATCTCCCTTCCCCTTTCCCATGCCTTCAGCTTCAGGGCCCGCTACACCTGCTGGCTTTGCTGGTAATCAATCTCAAGCAACTTCTGCAAGAACTACCTCTCAATCTACTATCACGGTAGACATACCTTCAACCAAAGTAGAAGCAGCAGCCTCGGCCCCAGACATTAATGTTAAAGAAGAAGTGGGAGTAAAGAATGAACCAAAAAAATCTGGTAACATATAATCTCTGTTCATGACTCCCATTTTTCTTCTTGTTGGATGACATGTACTACATTTGCAATTTATAAGTAGTGTGATTCCGTGTCCACTATCAGATGTATATGTGGCTCTAAGAATTTAAGTAAAAGTTGTACCCAAATCACTGTTGTCGATTGGTTCATCCTACCATAGGATGCATTACTAGTCTTTCCATGTATACTGTCTTGCAGCTTTCTTTTTGTTATAAACTTATAATAGCTTGAGTGAGCCTATGCCACAGCATTATTTTTAAGCTTTGCTTGCATGCAAGTATCCTCTGACAAACTTGATAGTGCTCCCTAAATAGACATCAGCTGTTTTAGTTTTCCGTTGAATGCGTCACTAACTAATGTCTAATTGTCAGGTGAATGTCTTTGAATTTATGTCTGTATCATTTGGGATTATTCATTAGTGTGTGCATACCTATTATTTTCTCAACCTTGCTTGCATGCTATCATGTTAGTTAATGGCTCTACAGTTTCTTAAGTCACTTGTAATGGAAACATACTGCTTTGAATTATAACAAATTGTGAAGTGTGTCCATATAAATTTGTTGGAATTAAAATTTTCCTGATAAATATTTATTTATTGCAACTTTTGTAGATGTGTCTCCAGAAGAAACTGTGCAGAAGAATGCTTTTGAAAGATTTAAAGATGTTGATGAATCAAGTTCATTCAAGGAAGCCTGTGCTCTAGCTGAAGTGAGTTTACAATTCTAGTTTTTTCTAAATATGTTTAGTGATTTGTCTTACCCTTAACATGTAATAACAATGGATATTATTGAAGGCTTCTCAAAATGGAGCTCCTTTTAACCAAGGTTTTGGCAATTCACCCGGTTCTCTATCTGCACGTAAGTAAGGAGTCAGTTGAAATTGAAAATATTTACATATCTGCTTTATTGCTGAAACCCTGTGTAGTGTAATACATCTATTCAAGCAATTTCAAGGAAATATAATGGCACAATGTAGACCGGGCCTGTTAAATAGATGACTGTTCATGTTATTATAGTCGTGCATATTGATTTAATATATCTGTCATCATCGATTTTACGTAGGATTATGTAAACTTACCATTGTCCTTGTACTTTTGATGATTTGATCTTCTATATAAAAGCCTTTCTTGTCAATATCATTTACTTTTGACCCTGTGGTAGGATCTAAGTTGGGAGAATTCTCTCCTATTCTATCATATTTCTTAATAAAAAAAGTGTTCTTTCTTTGGAACTCAATTCTTGGGTTTCTAACACATTGCATACTGATTTCCAGTCCCTGGGTTAAAACAGCGTCATAAATCATAAAGGAAATGCAAGAAGAAATTAATGCACTTAAAGAAAAGAATTCAAAAATTGATGAATTAACACAGGCAATCATATTCTTAACGCAAAGGGACAAGGCGAGGACAAAGAAAATTGAACTCTTAATGCAAATGCAGAATTTTAGTGGAAGACAGGTATATTATTTTGACGCATTTAAAGTTAAATTTTATGAGTATTATTTTAAAGATTATCATTTTAATACATTTTTTTAGGGATTGGAATCACCCGCTGATGGTAGACGTTCATCTGAGTCTAGCTACCGTATTGGAGATAATGGAACTTCAGGGGGGACAAATTAGACTTTGCTATGATCGAGATAATTAGATTGTGAACTTTCTCATGTATTTTTGGCATAATGATACTTATTATTATAAGATTAGGAATTGAAATATTTTGGGTTTTTTGTACTACTTGACATGATTATGGAACTCGCATTTTACATGATTATGGAACACACATTTTTTTGGATATTATAATGCTTATTTGATGTTAAATATTTTTTATTGAAATTATTTTTACTATATTACAAAGTGATAGAAAATAAAACAAAAAATAATACTATAAATAAATATATTAAAGAAGAAATAATTTAAAGAAAAAAATAACACAAAAAAAAACTATATTTAAAATTTTTTACATAGATAATAATTTAAATAAAAAATATATATAATAGAAAAATAAAAAAAAATCAAGACATAAACAAAAGTCATGGCGACAGTACCGAACCGTCGTAATCAACAATTAAAAATAATCAACAAAAGTCATGACGGTATCGAACCGTCGCCATAAACAATTTAATCAATTTCAAAAGATATTCACGACAGTATCGAACCGTCGCCATCAATAATTAAAAGAAACTCAAAAGATAGTCACGACGGTATCAACCCGTCGTAAACTTGAACGACAGTTTTTGTAACCGTCGCGAAATAGGTTGGGGACACACACTTATGCGACGGTAAAGCAACCGTCGTGGAAAGCAAATTGCGACGGTTTTAACCGTCGTAATCTACAAAAATACCTGTCGCAATCTGCCAATTTTCTTGTAGTGAACAATCATTTCTGGATGGCATCTCTAAGCCCATCTCCAACAACTATCCATTATCTCTCCAAATGGCATCTTTAAGCCCATTCCCTACATTTATCAACTAACACATCTTCGAGTGCAAATTTCTGGGCACTCTAGTGTTCAATCATCTTCCACCTTCAAGTCACGAATGGTAGATTTACCAATCTAACTCTTTAGGTATAAGAAGATTGAACAGGGGCAGCTGTTGCACCCTAAAATTTGCCCTCTCATTCCTCAAAGAATCACCCTGGATCTTCAAGATTTACTTCCATCCAATTCCAAGCCTTGAACTGCAAATTTTCCAAGAAAATCACTCACAAGGGCAAAATGGTCATTTACACACTGAAAAGTCAAACTTTGACTTTTGGATCAAAATCAACCTTCAAGAATCATATTTCATCAAGACACGTTGAAATATGAAGTTTGTTTCATCAAGAAATCCAAAAAGCCAAAATTCTAAATACTTAGAATTTTTTCTAAGTGTTTAAGAAGCATGACAAAACTCAGAACTTCTGACAAGATTATCACCATAACACTCAGCAAATTCTGGACACTCTCAAGGCAGATTTTGGTCAGAACTTCTGGGCAAGTTTTCACAAAAGCTTCAGTCAGAGTTTGCCAGAGTAATTCAAAGAAGGTTAAGAAGCGTGTTGCAAGCTTTCTAGAAAGTATGAAAGCTCCTTCAGAATATGCTGGAGTCAGAAGATAAGAGGATCAGAAGATTGGATGCTACGCTGAAGCAGAACTTCTGATCCAAAACTAAGCCATGGTGTAGAATCTCACGTTGCAGGATTTCTGGTTATGATAAGTCTCATCATCATTTAATGCTCACAACCAATTTTTGATTCTTTATCCAGAGGATTTTCACCATGTGTACCTCTACTATCTTGGAATAGAAAACTTTGGTACTAGGCCCATGCTTTGCTTTTGCTTTTCCTTAATTCCTGTTGACAACCACCATGCTTGCTTCAAGAACAAGGCAACGCTTTAGCATATGAAGGCTATATTCAATGCTTTGGTCAGAACTTGACCAAATCCCAAAAACCTTGTTTATACAACCCACTGCAAACATATAACCAACAGCTAATTCAGCCTACGCCTACATCCCATAATTGCACCAAGCTAGCATACGAAAACAGTGATGAAAAAGCAAGGGAGCAGGATGCCAAATTGATTTAAAAATTCCATTTGTCTTTCCCCCCCAAAATCACAAAAAATTCACCTATAAATACTTTGCTCCATCACACGTTCAAGGGGCTGGGCGTTGAAGGAGAGGCTGACTTTGGAAGAGAGATTGGTAAAAAAAAGGGAGAGAAAAGGAAGTTGAAACCTTCATAAAAAATCCAGAAATCCCAAACAGAAAAACAAACCTTTGTTCTTCCTTTTGAATCAAAGAGCTTGGAACTTCTTCTTCCGTTACTCTCGCTGATTCCAGAACATCTAAAGGTAGCAGCTCAAAGCTCCAAGCCCACATTCCAGGTTCAAGGTAAGTCTTTCTAACTTTGCATATTTTTCATTCAGAACATCATTAAACATGTAAATATCATAGTATTGATGTTGTTCATATCATTGCATAAGTAGAAAAAACTATGGGTCAGAACTTCTTGATTAAGGCTAGGCTATGGATCAGGATTAGAACTTATGTAAACTATTGTGTTTTTTTTATACTTCTAATTTGCTGTTTGTTGAAAACTGAATAGATTACTGATGTGCTGATTGAGAGTTGAAATATAGCATAAAACTTATGATGTTCATCCATAGTCTTAACATACAGAACTTCTAGGATTTTCTCACTATTTAAGCACGGAGAACTTCTGGGTTCTCTTCACTGTTTTAACACATGGAACTTCTATGATTTTTATCACTGTTAACACACACTGAACCTCTGATTTTTACATGTTGATAACGCACTGAACTGCTAATGTTCACTCACTGGCTCAGCACAATTCAGAACTTCTGATGATTCACTCACTGTTCTAACACAACACAGAACTTCTGATTTCTCCTTACATGTCAAATACACTAAACTTCTGATGTTTCCACTCGATGTTTTCAAACACTCAGAGTTTATGATTTTTACATGCTGATAACGCATTGAATTGCTGATGTTACTCATTATTTTAGTGTAATACAAAACTTCTGACTTGTGGCCCAATGTCTGAATACCAACTAGAATTTGTGTTTTCCCTCTAACGTTTCTTGCAGGACCTCAGAGTGTACGAATCCATAACATATGATTCCATTTGACGTTCCTTTCTGAGTCATCACGCACCTAGATTCAGAACTTCTTATCCTTGTTTATTTTGCTTGCAATAGCAAGCTGTTTCTGTCTTTTATTTATTTCTCTTTTCATCATTTTTAATATTAACATAAAAAGACATAAAAATATTTTCTTTTATTAATTAATTTATTTATTTTTTCATTAAGACAAAAACATTTTCTAAACAAGTCCATTTCTTTCTTATATTATGCATTTCAATATGGTCGTAATAGATAATTAGGACTTAAATTCCTTGCAACCCCCATTTGTAAATATGTACCCCCATCCCTAAAATATTGTAATAGCGTAGTGTGATACGGTGGGAGAACTGACTTGAGGTTTTGCGTTTGTATTCGCACTTGTTCGGTTTAGCAAGAGTCGCCACCGACTTTTTATTTTATCCTAAAGGAAAGGTTAAAAAAGCACAGGAAAAACCTTTGAGATGTTTTCATGGGTTCGGGGGGTAGATTATAGAAAGGGAAGGTATTAGCACCCTTTCTATCCATGGTTATCCATGGGCTCTTAGTTACTTGTTTTAGATCACTTGCCTTGCTTTTCAATTGTTTGAAATGGTGCTTTGTGTGTGCGGTTTTGAAAATGTTTTGAAAAAGATGCCTTGTCTAGGCAACCGTTGTAACAATTCTTTACTCGAATGTTTTACAAAGGTGTTTGTCTTTTTGAAAAGATGTTTCAATGTTTTTGAAAGTTGTTTTGAAAGTTGTGTTTGTGAAGTGTATTTTGAAAGTAGGCAAGTGTGTTTTGCAAGTTTGATCAAGTAACTGAGAGTTGTCTACCCCTAAATTTACTCAAAGATTTTTCTCATGTTTTAACCCTTTTAACAGTATTGTTCCACCATTGTATTTGGTGGACAATCTTGTGTTAGGATGTTAACGGGACAGGCGTGGGTCATCGTATAGACCATGAATGCAATGGTGCCAAGTGTCTTTGGCAATTTTCCTTTAAGGGACTTGATCATTTTTTAGGCAACTTCGAAAGTGTCATCGAGGGACTATGATCATTTGATTTGTTTTTGTTTTGCCAAAGAACTCAACATGCAAACATGGCCCATTTTTGAAGGCAACAAGCGGGGGAACCCTAGGGGTGCAAGTGTGAATTGTGTATTGATTGTCATGCATTTGTCTTGTATTAGGTTATCTAGTGGTTGATTTTGAATCTTCGCATACAAACCCTAATTACTATACAGTATATAGAAAGCG